ATTTTTTTTTTATTTTTTTACACTATTCATTTTTTCGTCTTTTCCTTATTTCGTCCTCTTCTCGTTTTTCACTTTTACTTGCATAACCTTATTTTTTGTGCTCGGATTTGATTCCGATTTTGCATACGTCCATGATATTTAAATTCCATGACATCTACATTTTTACTTTTGTAGAAATGCATATTAAATGCTTACTTTCTTTGTAAAAGTCATGAAAACAAGACTTTTTGCAATTATCCATAACTTGAGGGGTTTTGGGGTAATTAAGTAAAGTAATTATTTTTCGTCTTAGGGACCATTTTGCAAATTAATTTGGAAGATATTTTCAAAAAGAACCTTTTTGCAATTTTTAAAAAATATGACAAGTGTCACATTCCTATGGTGCCACTTGTTGATTTTGTGGTGGAACCACTTGGAGGCTTAATCTCATGACACATGGAGGGTGGAGATTCATCCACTTGTTGACCTAGGATTGGACCACTAGTTGGCTTGGATGGTTGACAAGTGTAGGCTTAGGATTAATTCTAGAAGGGAACCTTAGGATGATGACAAGTGTAGGGCTCACAATTAGTCTTGCATTTTGTGTGTGTTTTGACCATGGTGTAGGTTCACCTAGTGAGTGGAGGACCTCTAAATCCTCCACTCACATTTCATCTTTTTCATTTTCACATTATCCTACACATAAGAACCCTAGACTCCATTGAAGAAAGCTTAAAACCTTAAGCTTTGACTTTAAATTTTGAGGCCCTTCCACTCACCTTAGATCATTGACCTTTGAATACTTTTTGTTCCTCTCCTCTTCTTCTACAAAACCCTTGTTTGGTTTTCCATTTTTAAGCTTGCTTCCCTTGAATTCAAGAGGAACAATCCTCTTGTGAGGTAGGGGGTGTTATCATTTATCTTCCAAGTGATTTTATTTGTTCCTATAGTGATATTTAAGTTATATGTTTGTCTTGTATTAAAATGAGAAATAAATGATTAATTCTAACTTGTATATAATTCACTTTAGACTTGATAAATAACATGACCATAGCTTGATTCATAACTTATGTTAATTTGAGGTCATTTAGAGTTGTTTTAAAATCTAGAGGGATTAATGAATTAATTTAATTAATTTTTATTTATATGCTCCTATGACTTAAATCAAGTTTTGAAGTGATTTATATAATAACCATGACATGTACTACAACATATATTAAATTTGGGGCATTTGGATAAAAATTACAAAATTTATTTAATATTTATCTTTTGTGAAAGTTTAATTCACGTGGTGATAGCAAGCATGAAATCATAATGAAATGTGATATTTGGATAGGCCTTGGCATTTTCTCTAACATAGATTAAATTGAGGGCATTTGGAATTGTTTAAAAATCTAGAAGAAATTAATTAATTAGCTTGATTAATTTTGTTTTAAGTGTTTTAATCACTTAAATTGTCATTTGATGTTATATATGTGATGACCATGACATGTCCTTCAATATATATTAAATTGAGATTATTTGGGGTTAACTTGGAATTTAGAAAATTTAACTATTTATGTTTAATTAAATTCTATTTTATTACTCCATGGATTTAATTGCATTTTGGAAGTTGTTTTTATATTTAAATCATGGATTTGGATTTGGTGTATGTTCACTTGATTACTTTTGAGTATTGGATAACATAGTTGTTACTTTTATATTCCTAAAAATATGTTTTTCCTTATTGAATATATTGTTGTTATGTGTAAGGAATTGCACACTTTGTATTTGACATCTTTCATGCTATAGTAGTTGTAGACTTTGAGCATGTATTGTATAACTTTCCAAAATTGGATTGTGCTTGGTAAATAGTTGATATCTTGTATATACATGTTGATATATATACGTTGTTGCACAATTTGTTGATTTTGGAAACTTGGGGAAGTCGTTGTTTGGTTACGGGTAGGACTTGGTTCTAGTACGGGGGATTGTCCCTTTATATAGTCTAGTGCGCACATAGGGAGGTTACTCATGGGCTAGTAACCCTAAAGTAACCACATTGTCGGTTTGATCCGGCGTGACGTCCAAGTATCCACTTTGGTTTGATTTCGCATTTAAATTCCAAGTTGTTAACTTTGTGAAATTACATCTCATTGTGTTATGTTGAAAGTTCTATTGTCACTTGATAGCATGAATTAAATGGTATTGGATTGTAACTTGGTACAAAGATAAACCCATGCATTCCCTACGAGTAAACTTGTTTACTCACCCCTAAGTTAATGGGTGTTTTTGCAGGTAAAGAAGCCTCAATGTGGGATGCACAACATTCTTAGACTTACTAGAGTTCTTGAAGTATTTTGATGACATAAAATATGCATATGTTAGCATATCTTGTCCTACTTTTACTTATTTTGATAAAACTTGTACTTATTGTCTAAGTTATGTAATGTGCACTTAAGTGCACCTTTTAACACTCTTAGAATGTGGTTGTAATGAGGCCAAAGGCCAAAGACACTTATGTGAAATGTATGCTAACTTTGAACTTCATTGTTGCCTATAGAAGATATGTGGATTAATGCATTGAAGGGTTCTATTTTGCATATGACATGCCATGAGGCCATAAGCCATTGCAACACATTTATTTTATCACATTACATATGCTTGCATGCTCACTTTGGCAAACAACACCATCCTTGATGAAACAAAGACTCTAAGTAGCATTTTTAGGGTGTTTTACCCTATTCTGTTCCAGGGGCATTTCGGGTATTTCAAAATGCATTTTTTTTTTTTTTCACACGAGTCACGTAGAAAGCTCAATTTTGAGGGGGGTTTATTCTTTGTGTTTTTCCAGAAAATGCCATCTTGGCCCTCAAAAATCTATTTTTTTCCGAAAAATTATTGCTGCCAGGTTTTTGCCGACTTTAGTGCAAACGTACTTGGTACTATTCATCGACTTTTTTTTGAAAAGTGTGACGACCAATTTGAAACTTCTAAGGGTCTTATGGGTGTATTTTAAGATTGCATTTTCAATTTAGGCAATTTAAAAACCTTCCGAAGCCCCATTTCCTTTCTTTGGGCAATAGCTTGGAACGATTTTTGACCTCTAGACCTAATTTTCTTGAGGGTATTTTGGACATTTTACAATGCATTTTTTTGGTTTCCATTCGCAAGTCCAGTAGAAAACTTGATTTTAGGGGGGGTTTCTTCTTTGAGTTTTTCCAAAAAAGTCCATTTAGATACCCGTTTTTACTCTCAGTTGCAACAATAGTGGGTTGACGGCACTGTCGCTGTCACGGCCTTCGTCGGGTTGCCGCGATGTCGATTTTGTTTTTGACCTTTCTCCCTCATCCATACTCCAAATCAAGTGAATTTTTTTTTTGAAATTGATTAATTTTTTATTTTCTATCTAACGGTGTACTCAGTTACACCCGAATATTTCTAGATAATTTCCAGTTTACCCTTTTAGCTTTATTGCTCGTTTTTCTTTGTTTTGTCGTTTCTCCTTCGTCCGGACTCCAAATCATGCGATTCTTAAGTCCATCTCGATTAGTTTTTTGTTGTCTTCCCATGGTGTGCTGGATAACACTTGAATCCATTTTTTTGTAAAATGACCATTTTGCCCCTAGGTTCCTTTTTGACCGTTTTTAAAACGACACTTTCGCATTTGTTTTCCTTTGGGTTCTGTGACTTCATTGAGGGTTACATTAATGTCTTAGAGACGCATTGTATCTCTAAAGACCATTGTTTCACCTTTCGCTTCCACATTTTGGATCCATTATCGGGTCATCTTTTGGTCATCATTGACGTACCGGGTTTACAAAACTTGGGCCGTCACAGTCCCACATCGCTTGGGTAAAGGAAAGGTGAAGTGCTTATATGTAAGTGTGTCATGTCCAATTGGTATGAGGCCTTTTGGGATAAAGTCTAAGAGAAAAACCGTGCGGGCTCAGGCCCAAAGCGGACAATATCATACCATGTGGTAGAGTGGGTCGTTACAAATGGTATTAGAGCTTGACCGAGCCGGAAGTTTGCCGACGAGGACGTCGGGCCTCCAAATGGGGTGGATTGTGATGACCTTATGGGCGGGTGTGCCGTGGGCGGGTGCGAGAGACGCTGTCAGGCTATCACACTGGCGAGCTACGGGTACATAGTCCTACATCGCCTGGGTAGAGGAAAGGTGAAGTGCTTATATGTAAGTGGGTCATCTCCAATTGGTATGAGGCCTTTTGGGATAAAGCTCAAGAGCAAAACAGTGCGGGCTCAGGCCCAAAGCGGACAATATCATACCATGTGGTGGAGTGGGTCATTACAATATTCCTTTTATGACGGCCCAAATAGAAGGGTCAAGAAAGATGGGCCCAGCTTAGAGGGCTGGAGAGAGATTCTTAGAGCAAATGTACCTTCTATAAATAGAATCTAGAGAGAGAAAATAAAGGAAGTGAAGTGTATTGAAATTCCTTTCAGAAAATAGAGAGCTATTTGTGGTACATTCAATCACTAATTACAATAACAAAAGTTATGTACTCAAAAAAAATAGTAACCTTTTTCATCTCTGTAAATCACGTCTCACTACTAATTAATTTTTTTATTTTTTTGTAAATAAATAAATAAATAAGCTAGTGTTTGGAAAATCTTCCAATTTGTTAGTCTCCTGCAATTGGTTTGTAATTAAAACCGAAATGGGGGCTAATGTCTTTGTTATAGCTTTACATATGAGCTGCCTTTCATACCTTTTTTAACCTACCTGAAAAAAAAAAGGGGAAAAATCGCATAAACCCCCTCTACCATTATTTTCGATCAAATTGCCCCCACTAAAATTAAACACCCCCCTCAACTATAAACTGTCATCATATTGCCCCATTTCTGTTCACCTACCGTTTGGGTTGTAGCGCGTGTTAGTTACGCCCTTGTCAAATTTTTTTCCCTAAAATACCCCTTACCCTTCTTTTTTTCCTTTGTGTTATATATATATATATATATATTAAGCGTGTATACTTTGTTCACCTTCATAATTCATTGTTATTGTGATGCACTCTCAGATTGTTCTGATTGGAAGGGACCACAAGGACATACAGAGACTCATCTTCGAGTCCGCCGGTGCACATGAATTCCTAGTCGGCGACTTCGCAAGAGTCGAATTAGTGGCTCTCAAGGTCGATTCTTCAGCAAAGCGTCAGCGATGTTTTGCGACAGCGTTCAGGTTTCCAATGATTTGATGATCGTCGCGGTATAGGATTTCCTTCTACTGCTTGTGCACTAGAGAGAAGGAAGAAATACAATCATTAATATTGGGTGAAAACAGGACAACCAATTGTTCAAGTTTCTTTGAAAATTTCAAGCAATTGGAACAGAAACTCATGGATATGGATGATCTCCCACCTCATGTCCTAATCTTCCTTTTACCTCTGCAAGGTCAAATAAACTCCATGCTCAAGCTCGCCGACCTCTTCTCCCTCGCCGGCCTCCATATCATCTTCCTCCTCACCGACCACATCCATTCTCGCCTCCTCCGTCATACTAATATTCAATCCCATTTCAATCGTTATCCCGGCTTTCGTTTCGAAACAATCTAGGATGGCCTTCTGCCGGAGCACTCCCGCGTCGGTGACTGCTACATGGACTTGTTTGTGTCTTTGAGAGTTGTAACCAAGCCTTTGTTCAAAAATGTAACGACCCGCTCCACCACATGGTATGATATTGTTCACTTTGGGCCTGAGCCCGCACGGTTTTGCTCTTGGGTTTCACCCCAAAAGACCTCATACCAATTGGAGATGACACACTTACATATAAGTACTTCACATTTCCTTTACCCAGGTGATGTGGGACTGTGCACCCATAACTCGCCAGTGTGGTAGTCTAACAGTGTCTCTCGCACCCGCCCACGGCACACCCGCCCACAAGGTCATCAAATCCACCCCCCTTGGAGGCCCGACGTTCTCGTCGGCACACTTCCGGCTGGGTCAGGCTCTGATACCATTTGTAACGACCAACTCCAGCACATGGTATGATATTATCCGCTTTGGGCTTGAGCCCTCACGGTTTTGTACTTGGGCTTCACCCCAAAAGGCCTCATACCAATTGGAGATGACACACTTACTTATAAGTACTTCACATTTTCTTTACCCAGGCGATGTGGGACTGTGCACCCATAGCTTGCCAGTGTGGTAGCCTGATAGTGTCTCTCGCACCCGCCCACGGCACACCCGCCCATAAGGTCATCACAATAATGTAATACCCCTAATTTTAAAAGGATAGTCTCGGTATTAATTTATTTGTTTTAATTGTATTTTTTAATTATTTAATTAATTATTTGACTAATTGCTTATGTGTTTAATTGAATTAGGTATTACTTGATTATTTGATTATGTGTCTATGTATTATTTGTATTTGTCTATGTGTTAATTGTTTAATTAGATTATGTGCTTAAATGGTGTTTTGATTAATTGTAAATTAAATATTTTCTTTTCTTTTATTATTTTATTTTATTTTTCTTTTATGGTTATGGTTAATAGTAATGGGCCAACCAATTGGGTCCCATGGACTACTTGGATAGGAGGTTGGATGTGTATGGATTATTACCCATGGATAATGTATGTATATATATAGATATATACTATATACATATATAAAAAGGAAAGTAATTTATTAATTATTTTTATGGTAACTTGGGTAGTAATATTTAATTTGATATATATGTTTTATATTTAAATAATAAAAATATACATAGATTTGATACGTGTTATGTTTTAAGTTACTTTATAATATTATGGTAACTTGAGTATTATTGGATAATCCATTAATAAATAATAGAATGTGTATAATTTATTTATTTAATAAACATATACATAAATTATATACGTAACATATTTTACTTACCTTTTTAATATATATATAAAAGATAAAGTAATTTATTAATTACTTTTATAGTAACTTAGGTAGTAATATTTAATCTGATATATATGTTTTATATTTAAATGATAAAAATATACATAGATTTGATACGTGTTATGTTTTAAGTTACTTTATAATATTATGGTAACTTAAGTATTATTGGATAATCCATTAATAAATAATGGGATGTGTATAATTTATTTATTTAATAAAGATATACATAAATTATATACGTAACATATTTTACTTACCTTTTTAATATTTTAATATTTTAATATTTTTTTTTTTTTTTTTAAGTTGACTTGGATTGGGAAAAGGGTTAGGGTTATTTTATTTAACCTATAAATATATAGCTATAGGTTGTAAAAGGGGGATAGAAATATTCACGTGATATATTCTAGAGAGAGAAAGTTAGAGAGGGAATGAGGAAAATGAAGGAAGGATGAAAAAAACCCTGTAGAGAGAAGATCAAGGAAGAAGAAGTTTAACTTTTGATCCGAAAGTTTAAGGCAAGTTCTTGTTCTATCTCTTTCCCTTTGATTCGTGTTTCTGTACATGCCTAGGAAATTCTAGGATTTATTAAACACATAAAATTAAATAATTATGCATGTTTAATTGGATTAAAGCATAGGTTTTTATGAAATTGGTTCATATCTGTTCTTGTGTTATAAATTGATAAATGCATTATTTTGATTTGATTTCTGGTGTGAATTTTTACATGTTTGAATTATGTATTTTTCATATCTGTGGAATGATGTAACGTAGAAACATGCTTAGGATTCCTGAACATTAAATAGGGACTAGGTTTGGGTTTTAATAAATTTAAATAAACTCAATCATAATGATGCTTGCTATTTGAATGTTTTAAACAAACGAATGGATTTAATCTTTTAAAATATTTTAGCAATTGAGATTAAATGTGTAGGATGAATTGGATATAGAGAATCTTTATTTAACGGTATAATAAAATATCATCATGTATAAGATTCAGTTTGTGTAGGACATATGATATAGGAAGTTTAAAGAAATAATAAGTCATTCCTATTATGTGATAACTTGATATCATATTTATCATAGTTATTTATGGAATGTTTGATGTATTTCCTTAATTGTTACATCAATTATTGGATTGTGTGGTTTAATGCACCGGTATGGGACGGTGGCATTCTAGGGATGGATTAACTTATCAGTTAAGTCCTACCTATTTTATATAAGGGAATAGATTAACTAAAATGTTAAGTCCTACTTATATTTAAGTCAGGTCAGCTGAACAAGTTGAATGACTTATGGAGGATTAATTTATTATATAAGGGAATGGATTAACTAAAATGTTAAGTCCTACTTATATTCAAGTCAGGTCAGTTGAACAAGTTGAATGACTTATGGAGGATTAATTTATATTGGGTAGGATAGTTACTAGATTTTATATATATAAGTATGGTGCCATGATATGAGCTTGAGTCTCAGGATCAATGGTTAGGGCGCGTAGATCGCCAGGGATGTGTAGTTAGATATAGTGTAGTTGTGTACCCTGGTAGGTCTAGGTACTCATGCCCACTATATGTGCGTTTTGCATGTTGCCTACTATTCAGGTTGAGACAACCCTATAGTCTAGTGAGGTTCCTTTAGTGTGTATATATATATATATACGGACTACTAGTTACTGTTGGATTGACTAGGATGTATACGTGTATCGAATCTCTGCTTGGACTGTAGTAGAGTAGAACTTGTTTGTGGGCCTGACCCACCATTATTTTTCAGGTGTTCGTCACGAGTAGAGGTTGTTCGTGCTGAGCGGGGATCAGTCTACTTCATTCTTCCAATACTACATAGGTGTTCCTTTATGATTCAGTTTCCTGTTTCAGATTACTGTCATTTGTTTAGTTTGGATTTTCTAAGGGTCCACACAGTATGGATTCCCGAGTTGTATTTTGGAGGATCTGTTGTATCAGAAGAGTTTATTAATTAATGGAAATATATTATGAGGTTTATTATTAGATTATCATTTTAGTTTCTTGTCAGCATTTTATTTATTCTTCTTTATTCTTTTGTACTCTGTGTTTGTTTATTATCAATTTGTTTTGATATCCTCGGGTATTCGGGCGTGGGCCTGGCCAACCCGCATTCGAAAATTCGGGGGTATCACAAAAAAGTTGCTGACTTCCGGTTGATTGAGCTCCGATTCATGGCAGCCGGTGATGTGTGTCATCGCATATCCGAAAAAGGTCAAAATTTCTGAGATTAGCAAGGGAGATGATGTACGCCGGAATTTGGTCGGAGATTGATTTCCACCTCATTGCTCTGTTTCCACCAATTTTAATGACGGCAATGGGTGCAAGAAAAATTAATATTTTCCATATACACAAACTGAGATAATCATGAAATAAATCTTAATTAAATCATTGACTATTGAAGCTCTAGACTTTGATGTTCTCTCTCGGCGCAGTGATTCATCTATAATAGAGTTCCATACATTCGCTATATATAATTTGTATATATATGATTTTTGGCAAATTGGAGAGTTTCAGATCGAGACAGAGACAGTGGCATTGGGGTTGTAGAAGCCATGGTGTATGTGGTCACCCCTATTTGGTGAAGAAGCCTGGTCAGACGATATCAAAAAGGCATAAAAATTATGATTTGATGTTGCATCTCCAACTGGGTATTAGAGTATTTTTTTCTCTCTCTACTTTCTCTCTCTTCATTCTAGAATTTGAGAACTTTAATTCAATTCGATTCGATTTGATTTAGTTCAATTCAATCTAAGGTTAGGGTCTTCAATTAGTGAGTTTAATTCTATGGCTTCAATGGAACAGGTGGTGTCAGACTTAGGGTTAGGGGAATTAGGGTTTCGGTAACTAGAGTTTTAGGTTTTGATGTTTTTGGACTGATGATGGCTGCAAAATAACAATGATTTTGTATTTAAATTTCAGATTATATTATAGGGGTATATTTGTCATTTCATGTGAACTTAACTGATTTAAACAGAAATGGGACAATGTGATGACAGTTTATAGTTGAGGGGGGTGTTTAATTTTAGTGGGGGCAATTTGATCGAAAATAATAGTAGAGGGGGGTTATGTGATTTTCTCCCCAAAAAATATGATGATAGTTGAAATAATAATAATAATAATAATAATAAATTTGATGATAGTATAATAATAGCAGTATTAAAGGACACTAAGCAAAACAACTAATTTACAAAGGAAATTTGAAATTTAATAGAATAATAGCATGTTTTGGATTGAATTTCCTCATTTCTTTTCCCTTTTCACCACCTTGTTTTTTTTTTTTTTTTTTTCCCCAAAGAAAATAAAATTTTGGATTAGTGGCTAGACGTGATTTTCAGAGATGAAAAGATTTCTATTATTATTATTATTTTTTTTTTGGGTTGATAATTACATTTTATTTTATTGTTGTAATTACTAATTAGTGGTATTGGTAAATATTAAATTTAGAAATTAAAAATAGTGATAATGCTTTTGTATTAAAAATAACTAAACGAAAATCATATAAGTTGATTTGAAAATCTAATGGTCACAATAAAAAGTGTGGAAGAAATTTTTTGATCCACGGTAACAATTGATCATATTGCCAAACTATATATAAATATAAGGACAATATTTATCTCCTCCCCAAAGTACATATGTGACACAATCTATTACATCCTCTCTTGACCAACCACCTCTTGTAACTGACATTTTCATTGAATAACCAATAGCTTGCTATCTTAAGGAAATCTTGTCCCATATGAGATTTGGATGACATTTGAAATAAATATAAATGAGTTGGGTGTTAAAACCATTTACTAAATTAAGCTTTTAGGTCTGAACGTGAAACATTCCCCTAAGTCAATAGGGTGGTCCGATAATAACGCCCTCATTGCGAGATCAAATTTGGGAGAATGTTACAAGGAAATCGTGTCCCACATAGCACTACCTAATTTTTTGGCAACTTGTTTGCTATAGCTAATAATGAGGCAATGGTGAGGAAAATTAGAGTCCAAACTCTCATATTTTTACCTTGTTCATTTTTTAATCAGAATGACATTTAATTTGATGGTATAATCTCTTATTCTTCACAGGAAAAAGAAGGGGTCGCAGTCTGGATGTGGACAAAAAGTATGGCCCTGCTTGGAATGGATTTATGAAAACTGTTTTCTGTTTTTATAGTATCAAAATTTTGAAAATTGCAAAAAAGGTCCGCTTGGATCTGTTTTATAAAAACAGTTTTATGAAAACTGAGATAACAGAGTTGAGGTTTTCAGAGAACAACAATTTGTTGTTTTCAGAGTTTTGGGAACACTGAGATGCAAAATTGAAAACACGGAGAACTGGACTGGCTACTTAAAAGTACGGACAAAACTGCATAAAACTCTCGCTCATTTATAACATCGTCCACATATTTCTCTGCGCAACCTCTACAACTCTCTCTTTCTTTAACAATAACAACAGTTTTCTCACATCAGATTTCCAACCCTCATATTTGGTCATATTTTTCCAGATTCTCCTCCTCTTTGAAGAGCCATCTCTCAGATTTCTTCAAGCCAGATCTGCACTTCTTTCCTCACAATCGTCTCTCTGTTCAGGTAGAACTCTCTAACCCTCAAATTTCTTTAATCCATACAAGATCTGCGATTTTTCTCACAATCGTCTATGATCTTATCAATTCTTAGAATTTTTTTCAATTTCTCTCACAATCGTTTTCTCTCTATCTTCAATCCTTGTTTGGAATCTCATGGCTGCTTCAGTTGCAGGATTGGCCGCCGTCGCCTTCAAATCTGCCGGAGTTGTAGAGAAATCCGGACTTTCTGGCAATGCTCTTTCATTTCCAGACGCGCTGGGTTGATTAAGGTCCCAAATCGCATCAACTTAGATTGCAGATCGAGGAGATCGTTTGCTTCCTCCGGTATAACTTCTGTTTCCTTTTTTAAGCTTTTGATGCTCACACGATCACATCTAAATTTGTGACCTGTTTATGTATATTTATATGAATGTGCATGTTTACAAATGTGAAAGCATGAACAATTTGAGTTGGATATATTACATGGAATTTAAATCTGTTCTTTGTGCTTTCCACACAGTTTTAATATCTTTAGAAATTAATTTCTATCATCTGATCTGGGTATAGTCTCTTTTTATTTTTTTATGATGATTTTGAGTGCTTGTTAGATTTTCTTGGGATTTTGAGTGCTTGTTAGATCCTCTTTGTTACTTCAGTTGTTGTGCTGCATCAAAGCAAAGAAACAGAACCCCACAAAATATCTTATTAATGTTTCACCAAAAAGAACTGACATGTTACCATTGGTAGACTAATGTTGAATCGGAGAATAATAAATAATAATAATAATAATAATAATAATAAAGACAAAGTACAATTAAGAGTTTGTTGCCCTAAATGTGAATGTTCTTCCAATTGAAGGGATGGAATTATCTTTACAACACAAATAAGGGGCTAAATACTGGTATCTAAACTATGGGTTGAGGCAGCATAAGTTTTTTTTTTTTTTATCCAAGTAAAGACTTGGAATTCTCAGAGGTCCCTGTCATTGGACTCATTGAACCTGCTGTAAGAAGGTCTTTGTGCTGCAAACCTCATTCATCTCAGGTGAATACAATCCTTTAATATTAATCCTCAACCAAATAAGGACACAAGATTATTTTGTAATTGTCCTCCACCAAGAACAGGCAGTGGATTACTTTACATCAATATCCATATTTAAAACAGACCTAATCCTTTTTTTTTTTAAAAAAAAAAAAAAAAACCTAAATGCTCATTCTGGCTGCGGAGAGCTATAACACAAAAGGATTTCTTCTTTGACATTGCAATTTCTATTCCTTTGTGAAAGGACCGTGAATCATATAATACTAAGTTACTAACAGATTATTTTATTTAAAGATTCTACTCTATCACTTGTATTTTAACTGAACAAAGATATACGCAAGAGGGTGTCAGTAGCTTCTAAGTTATATTGGCTCCTTTTATTGCTGAAAAAGGGTTTACAAAAAACAATTTTATATTTTGGGAGTTAAAAAAAAAAAAACTGTTCTTCAATTTTTTAGTTTAATTATAGCACATCAACTTTGTTTTGTCTAGGTTCTTGGAAAATCAAGATGGATATAGATTGGAGTGATGTAATACCCCTAATTTAACAAGGATAGTTCTGGAATTTATTTAATTATTTAAATTGTGTTTTTATTTATTTAGTTGAGAATTTGTTGATTAAGTGTGACTTTATTTAAATGACTTATTTTTTTTAGTGGTGGTTTTGTGAATTAATTAATTAAGTATTAAATTGTATTTTATTTTTCTGTTTTTTTTTTGTTATTTGAACTTAGGGTTTTGTTTTATTTTTCTTTAGCCGACTTAATTTCCTGTCTAGTATTAGGACTAGAATTAGGGTAACCTTAATCCTATAAATATATACATTAAGGTTCTACCTAGGGTTTTAGAACCTAAACACGTCTGTGGAGGCAGAGAGAGAAAACAGAGGAAGGTTTACAGTAGTCGGAGTTCGCCGGAGAATTTAGGAAGCAACGGTGCAATGTTTCAAACTGAGACCTAAAGGCAAGTTCTAAACCTATCTCTTTCCCTTAGGCTCGTGTTCTTTGCACGACTGATACAATTCCAGGATTTAATAAGGATTAAAAACTAAACTGGATTGCATATTTTAAATGCTTAAAACTGGATGTGTGTTCAAGTTGTTTAATGTTTGTATTAAATTCTTTGTTGCGTAATTTCTATTTTAAATCATGTAAGTTGATGAGTAATGATTTTAATTAGTTTTATACCATGTTGGGAACCACTGGAATTAATTTAGTTTGCAAGTTTGGTGTGTTAAAACAATTGGGGTTCGGGAAGGCATAAATTGCTCGTATTAAACTCTTGATGCAAAATTCATGCTTTAATTGATTTTAGTAACTGAATAAAGAATTTAGTGGATTCTAGAATAAGTTGGAACCTGATTTAAACACTTAGGAACCCTAGGTTTGAAGGTCAGTTCATCAGAAACTCACCGGAATTGAAAATAATGAAGAACAGAGAGAGAGACGGCTCATTGTTTTAAAGAGTAGGCTCTTTCGGACGAAGAGCAGGATCTTCTTTTAAGTAGAGCCGGCTCTAGGGGTCTTGGAGCAGGCTCTTCTTCTAGTAGAGCTGGCTCCAAGATGGGAAGAGTAGGCTCTTCTTTTGGTAGAGCAGGCTCTTCCATCGGGTGTGCGTTTTTTAATTTTTCTGCGACTGTGTGGGCTACAGAACTTGGATTTTGGAATTTTAGTTTCTGTTAGAAGCTATACTGAGGTGTTTAGAGGTGGTCTAAGCTTGATTAAAATCCTTGAGAGAAGATTTATGCAAAATAAAACAACTTTGTTTTAATGCGACAGTGGACAATGCTTAATTAATCAGTTTACTGTGTTTTTGTTATGAAAGGATGCAGAATTGCTTAACGCTTAGAATGGCAGTTCTTAGCAATAGAATTCTCAATTAAACCTATCCCAATGTTATAAAATAAGCGTGTGGATTTAAATGGTTTAGTATGCTTATTTGGCCCTAAGTTGGTTTACAATTTGGATGGGAGGAACTGCAAGATGTTTAAGCTTTGGTATTAAAATTCTTAGTGATGATTTGCAGTTAGTCACATTCCAGAATTACTAAAAATAAACATGTGAACATTTATATTCTGTTATGGTTGATTAGAATTAATTGGTTTACATGTATAACCTGTAGTATCAATTAATGGACATTTAAGAGTAGTATGGATTAAGCTTGTTAATTGACAATTATTTTATCATGCTTAATATGGAACAATTGATATTTGTACTTAATGTTTTATTGTCAATTGTGGAATGTATGGATTGGTTGATAGTTATATTTTTATTTATTCTATCAACTGCCGGATGTATTGGATTATATGCACTGGTATGGGACGGTGACATACTAGGTTTGTATTGGCTCAAAATTGCTATATCCTACCTATACGGAATAAGGAAATGGATTAAAAATAAATCCTACTTATATTTAGGCTAAGTCAAAGAAGCTGCACAAGCTGAATGACTAGCTGGATTACTAGTTATCTATGTTAAGTCTGTGCAGTGGAATAAGCTGAATGACTTACTAGATTTATTATGGATGGTTATGAACGGATTTTAAATATATTATTATGGTACCGTGACATGAGTTTGAGTCTCAGAGTCGACGGTTAGGGAGCGTATATACAGTAGGATGCGTAGCTGGCTATGCTGGTTATGGTATACCCTGTTAGGCTTAGGTAGTCATGCCCACTCAGGTGCGTTTTGCATGTTGCCTTTTACTCAGGTTGAGACCCGTATCATAGTCTAGCGAGAGTCCATAGTGTGGATATATATATATATACACGACTTATATAGTTATTGTTGAGTTGGTTAGAGTGTATATGCGTATCGAGTCTCTGCTTGAATTGTAGTAGGTTAGAACTTGTTCGTGGGCCTGACCCACTCCTATTTTTCAGGTGTACGTCAGTTCCAGGCTTGAACTTGTTCGTGCTGGGTAGAGACAATCTTCCATTCTACCGACGATGTAAGACTTCCTTCCAGATATTTGATTTGGATTTTATCTTCAGTTTATTTTCATTTTAGTTTGGTTTTTAGGGGTCCACTAGAGATAGATTCCCGAGTTGTTAACTTATGGAGGTTTTGGAGTATTGTGATTTAAGTATATTTAATATTAAAGGTTTTTATATTTTAGTTTTCTTTCAGCTTAAATTATTGTTTCTTAAATTCATTTTGTATTCCGTATTCGTTTTAAAATATTAATTGTTTGATATCCCTCGGGTTAGGGCCTGGGCCTGATCAACCCGTATCTTGGATCCGAGGGGTATCACAAATGACACATCGTCTAGTGATTCAGATGAAGATTTTGATGACCTTGTAGATTGCAAGTATTTGAATTTGATGCAGGAGAATGAAGATTCATTTAAATCCAAGGTACCAAAGAGAACTTCAGGGTTAACATGTCATGAGTATGTTCAGGAATTGTTGAATGACCATGCTGCTCGATGTTTTGATTTATTATGAATGGATAGAGAAGTTTTTCTGAAATTACGTCGAATATTGAGAGAACATAAATTGTTGGAAGACACACATACAATTTCAATCGAGGAGTCAGTGGCAATGTTTCTGTTCATTATAGGACATAATATTCGTCATGCAGTGGTAGTTGAACGATTTCAACATTCTGGCGAAACAGTTTCTAGATATTTTAAGCAGGTATTGAGAGCAATATGTCGCGTTAGGAAATTCCTCATACGTCCACCACAAAGCAATAATGTGCCTTCTCATATACTTCATAATCCTAAATACTATCCTTGGTTTAAGAATTGCATTGGATTAATTGATGGAACACATATAAGTGCTTTTGCACCTGCTAGCAAACAAACTCCTTATAGAGGAAGAAAGTCTATAGTGACACAAAATGTTATGTGTGTTTGCTCATTTGAAATGCTATTTACTTTCGTTTACGCGGGTTGGGAGGGAACGACAAATGACTCAAGAGTTTTTATTGATGCAATTGCTAGAGCTGTTACACGATTCCCGATACCACCTGATGGCATTACTATTACTTTTGTCTTTTTAATATTAATAATAGCATGCTACTAACCCCAATAAAATTTAAATAATATTTTGAAGGGAAATACTATGTAGTTGATTCTGGTTACCCATGCACAAAAGGATTTCTGCCTCCGTATCGTGGTCAAAGATATCATCTACAAGATTATAGGGGTAACAATCGGCAACTGCGTGGTGCAAAAGAATTGTTTAACTATCGGCATTCATCACTTCGCAATGTCATTGAACGTTGTTTTGGAGTACTAAAGGCTCGTTTTCCCATTTTGAAGCTTATGCCTTACTATAAGTTGGTTAGACAACGACTCATAATAACTACTTATTGCACGATTCACAATTTCATTCGTCAAAATATATTAGATGATTGTTTTTTTATGGAGTATGGGGAAAAAGATGTTAGTGTCACTGATGGGGGGAATGATAACAGTAGTAATGCTGGTGTATTGAATGCACTTAATTTATCTAACGATGGTGCAACGCAAATGGGAGCCTTTAGAACTCATCTGACAAATCAAATGTGGGCATCATTCAGAGGCAATGGTTGATGAAGTTATTTTTATAATTCTCCAATGTTTTGCTTTGATTACCTATTTATATAATTCTCTAATATTTTGTTTTGGTTATGTATGACTAAAATTAATGTTTGTACAACTAAAAGTGCATATAACACTTTGAAGTAATTAATGTAACTCTTTTATTGTATTTCAATTTAGTCAAATTTTAATTAAATTAGATATATTGTATTTGTGCAACTTTTATTAAGTATACTTGCTAAAATGAATTCACCTCCAACACTTAAATAAATAAATAAATAAATAAATAAATAAATAAATAAATATATATATATATATATATATATATTTACATTAATAATTAATATAATAAATTAAAGAAATAAAAGAGTGACGTACAATAATATTTATTTTCTTAGTTCAGAAAACTATTTTAGAAATTTTTACAACCAAGTAGTTTTATGAGTTCTTATTTTCCGGAAACTGTTTTGTAAATTCTCTTAACCAAGCAGACTTTAAATCTGAAAAAACTAAAAACTGTTCTCGAGAACTGTTCTGGAGAATTATTCTCTGAAATGCAATCCAATAGCTTATATTTCCTTGTGTTAATTTCTTGTCAAGGAAAAAAAAAAAAATCTTTTAATAAATGTATGGTGTATAATAGTCCATGTGGCAACTGTGAAAGCAATGAGTACAAGGGAATGTGTTGAATATTCAAGCCAAATATGGATTACATGACTGTAGAGGGAAAAAAACTCCCTTCAATAAAAAGCGCACACGTCATCACTACATATATTTACATTCCAAGGACATATAAGGCCCATCATACTCAAGCTCAAATTGAGGGTATTTATAGCCCAAGACCATTGTTATTTGTCTTCCAATCTCCATCAAGGCCGAATCAAGAGGTCATCAGCCCAACTTGTTAATATTTAACATCCGGTCCGTTACTCAAGCCCAGCCGGATCAAAATATATTCAGCCCAGTTATTCAAGAATGCACAAGTCCTACCAGTTGAAGTATTTACCATAGAAGGAAAATTCTGAGATAGGAAGTTCTGTATAAGGCAAGTTCTATGTATGGAAAATTAGACAATTGAAAGAACTCTATTAGTAAAGAATGTTTATATAGAAAGAATTGGAGGGCAAGCAACGCGAGTCCTACCATAATTTTACAATCTTTTGTATATAAATAGAGGCTAAGACCTCCAATAAAAAGGGGCAAGCAATTCTACGCTTCGAGATATATTGTTCTTGTTTATCTTACTATTGATTGAGTGAGTTATCATTATTGGTTGAGCGAAAGTTTGCACCTACACTTTGGCGCTGTCTGTGGGAATCGTATAAAAATATACTCCCACTTGTTCTTCAAATCAAATCCTTAGTCGTATTTGGAATGTCAAACGGAGAGTCGGCAATGAATCAACAGATAGAATTGATGCAAAAGATGCGAGAGGAGTTCTTGCACCAATTTGAGACACTCCGGCAAGCAAACGATACGAGTGTCGCCCAGATAGCTGCGCTTCAGCAGCAGACTCATACGCTGCACACGGCAATGGCCAGGCTAACGCCACAACCACCACCAGGCGATGCTGCAGCACCACCCCCCACCCAGAATTTACCTCCAGTTCACGAGCCTCCGGCCAACGGGACACCACTTAACGGGGCTCGACCTAATGAGGTTCAGCAAAAGCAAGGGACGAGGTCCGAGGCGGTTGCTTCGGATAATCTCCCGTGCTGTACACAGGATGAACAAGCCGAGTCTAGCCATAGGCTTACGGTATGGTCCAATGGCGTTCCAGATGGCACACGCGTACACGATGCTTTCGACGAAAAGAAGCTATTAAGAGTTCAGACACCAGCCGAGATGGCTAGAGAGCACAAGAACTCCTTGGTCAAGACCCCCTTTACTGACGATGTGTACCTTGTGGAGAGACCAAAGAAGTTCATTACGCCATCCTTCACCCAGTTCGATGGGGCAGGAGACCCCTCTCAGCATCTCGATCATTATGTGCAAAAGATGGCACTGGACGATCATAACGATCCGTGGATATGTAAGGTTTTTTCTACCAGTTTAACCAGAGTAGCGTTAGAATGGTTCAGGAATAGGCCACACAAGTCTATCCCTGATTATGAGACCTTGTGCACTATGTTCTTAGCCCAGTATTACGAAAATAAGAAGCAGAAGAAAAGTATTGCCAGCCTTTTCACCATAAGGCAAAGGAAGGGAGAAACTCTGCAAGATTTCTTATCCAGATTTAACATGGAAGCCTCGGAGATAGCAGATTGCCACCCTGCCACGGCAATCGAAACATTTAAGTTGGCAATGATCCAGGGAACCAAGTTTCACACATCCTTGATCAAATATTCCCCCCTGGATATGCAGACTTTGAACGCTAGGGCACAAATCTACATTCGGTTGGAGGAAAACGTAGCCCACCGTGTACAGCACGCTACCCTCGTCACTGTGGAAAATAAGTCTCGAGAGAAAGCTGCAAGCACAAGGATGCAGAAGGTTCCTCATACCGCCACACAAGTCACCCAAGCGCCTGAGAAGAGGCGAAGGACAGAGGACAGGCTTACCCTTCTCCGTACTACCTTAGCGCGCCTATTCCAAGAGAATAAGACGAGGTTTGTAACTCTTCAGCCCATGAAACAACCCTTGGAGCAGAGGGACAAAAGCAAACATTGTGCCTACCATAGAGACTATGGGCATACCACCAATGACTGCAGGTCCCTTCAGCGACAGGTAGAAAGCATGATAGCGAGAGGAGAGTTGGTGGAGTATCTCGCTACGAAGGAGTACGTAAAACCTCGGGAGGTTAACCCTCGACGGGTGGAGGGTGGTCAGGTAAAGGTTATCCATGCCATACACGGAAGGTCAGAGGATGATGAAGAGTCTGAAGAATTGTACAGATCCAGGCTGAGAGAGGCTCATAAGTTATGAAGATTGTCTTCGGTAAACACGGTTGCACCAGGCAGCATCAACATTGGATTCGGTAACAATGATCTGTCTAGAGTCCAGCGCCCGCATGAGGACCCCTTGGTCATCAGCCTCCTGGTAACGAATTATATGATCAGGAGGGTGCTGATAGATCCGGGAAGTAGCGCCAACATCATTACAAAAGCAGCCTTCGATCAGCTGGGGGTCTCACCATCGTCCATCAGGTCAACTTCTAGCCCCCTAATGGGGTTTGATGGTACTAAGGTGAATCCGCTTGGGGTGATCGATCTATCCGTTACTGCAGCAAAGAGGACTCTGAAGGAGAACTTTGTAGTGACGGAAATTCATCCATCTTATAACCTCATTATGGGGAGAGGTTGGATCCATCGTATGAACGGAGTCCCTTCTACCCTTCATCAAGTAATGAGGTGTTTATCCCCAGATGGCAGGGAGGTCATCGACCTCTGGGGAGACCAGGTTGCTGCAAAAGAATGTTACATGCTAACGCTACATGAAGCAAAGAAGGCGTCGAAATCACCTCCGTTAGAGGCGAATCCCAAAGACGCAATCAAATAGTAGCTACAGTATCCTCTGCCTAAGTATCTCAAGGCAGAGGAAGAAGCCAAGGCTGAAGCACCTACCGAGGAATCCCTCGAAGCTATAGAGGTAGTCCTCGGAGACCCTCAGAAAGTCACCTACATTGGTTCATCTTGCATAGCCGAAGAGAAGGAAGCATTAATCAGGGTCATTCGGTGCAATTCGGATATCTTTGCCTGGGATCACTCGGACATGGTAGGGATCGATCCTACGGTCTCGTGCCATAGTTTGAGGGTTAACCCAGAATTCAGGCCAGTCAAGCAGAGGCACCGACGGTTTGCACCTGAACGGAATCGCATAATAGCCGAGGAAGTAAATAAACTATTACAAGCAGGATTCATTCGAGAGGTGCAATACCCACAATGGCTCTCAAATGTAGAAGTCGTTCAAAAGAAGAATGGGAAATGGAGGGTATGTGTAGATTATACCAACTTTAACAAAGCTTGCCCAAAAGATAGCTTCCCTCTGCCCAAGATTGATCAAATGGTGGATGCTACGACAGGTTATGAGAGGCTCACATTCCTCGATGCATACTCCGGCTATAATCAGATTCCCATGAATCCTGAAGATGAGGAGAAAACCGCTTTCATCACAGAGACGGGCACTTACTGCTACAGAGTGATGCCCTTCGGTCTAAAGAATGCCGGAGCCACCTACCAGCGACTTGTCAATAAAATCTTCAATAATCTACTGGGGAATACAGTTGAAGCCTATATCGATGACATGGTTGTCAAAAGTATACGGAAAGAGGACCACCCGAAGCACCTCCAGGACAGTTCCCCACCAAGTGCTCCTTCGCCGTCTCGTCAGGACAGTTCCTCGGACACATTGTAAATAAAAGAGGAATAGAAGTAAGCCCAGCTCAGGCAAAGGCACTCATACAGAACCAAGAGCCAAAAACCTGCAGGGAAGTGCATGTTCTAACCGGCCGAATTGCGGCTCTCAGCCGGTTCATATCCCGATTATCTGATAAGTATAAACCTTTCTTTGATGCTATTCGATCCAAAAACAAAGATATGTGGGGACCTCAGCAGTAGGAAGCTCTCAATCAATTGAAAAGCTACATGACAAAACCCCCAATCCTTTTTGCTCCAACGCCCGGAGACACTCTCATCCTGTATTTGGCAGTATCAGCTGTAGCAACAAGCGCAGTATTGATTAAAGAAGGAGGCAAGGTTCAGCACCCAATCTTTTACACAAGCAAAACGATGACGGATGCCGAGACACGGTACAACAAGACGGAAAAAGTAATCCTGGCGTTAATTTATGCCAAGAGGAAACTTCGACATTACTTCGAATCTCACAGCATAGTGGTACTTACAAATCACCCTATACGGGCTATCCTAGCTAAACCAGACTTGTCTGGTCGAATTGCAAAATAGGCTATTGAACTTAGCTCTTTTGACATCACCTATGCACCGAAGGTATCTCACAAGGGGCAGTTAGTAGCGGATTTCCTACTAGAGTATGAAGATCAACCTGAGGAACCGACACTTCAAGAGCCGTACTGGGAGTTATGGGTTGATGGCTCTTCCAACCAGAAAAGGGCAGGGGCCGGGATTGACATCA